TCCGCATGCCCCCCCCCCCCCCCCCCCCCCCCCCCGTTTCCAGGCATGGTGCCTATTAAAGCTCTGGGGATGCCTTTCAGGCGCAGGCTAACATCTGGTGCCGAGAGCTTATCGCTCCTCCAGAGCCACAACCTGGTTTTGATCTGGGGCAGCTTTACGCTTCTCCTCCTGCGTCGTCAATTCAGTGTTTTGTCAAAAAGGCGAATTATTTCCATAAAACCACCACGCACGCCTGTCAGGGGAGCGATGTTCCTATTAAAGCTCTGGGGATGCCTTTCAGGCGCAGGCTAACATCTGGTGCCGAGAGCTTATCGCTCCTCCAGAGCCACAACCTGGTTTTGATCTGGGGCAGCTTTACGCTTCTCCTCCTGCGTCGTCAATTCAGTGTTTTGTCAAAAAGGCGAATTATTTCCATAAAACCACCACGCACGCCTGTCAGGGGAGCGATGTTCCCATGGGCTGAGCTGAGTGCAAGCGAGCGCTAATGACTCCGATCCCAGTGTACCCCAGGGAGGGCAGGTTCTTACGCCTTGCTCAAGCCAAGCCCAGCAGAAAAGGAAGTGCTGAAGAGAGCACGAGGCAGTAGAGAAATGGTTTTGAGGAGCCTTCCGTCTGGTGAAGGCTCGATACCAGAAAATGTCCTTGCCTTGATCGTTTCTGTCCTTCAGCCCAGTAACGGCCTGTTGTACCATGACTGCTCCCCTACTGAAGTCTATCAGGCTGTTCTAGGCCTGGTGGGAGTGCCCAGGATAGGGTAGATGCTGCCGTGAAAAACAGGCTGCATCCACATGAAGGGGTGTCACTACACACAGCGGTGAAAGGCGCTGGCAGTGGGGAGCTGCTGGAGCCTCTCCCCATTATCTTCCCAGGCCTGAGCAGTTTCCCACTGCTGGAGACTTTCCCTGCAAAGGGGAAACCCCTGAGTCAGGGGGAATGGCCTGAGCTTTTCCCTGCTGCCTCCCTCTGCTAGAGCCTTTCCCTGGGGCAGGAAAAGGTACCAGTAGGAAGACACAACACTGGAAGTAGCAGTGTAGCTGGGGAAGGCACTGGGTGGGGGGGTGGACAGCAATGTAGGATACGTACCCTGGTATGTCTTTACTCGCCTAACTAGCATCTCATCTAAGGGGCATGCAGTGCACATACTCGACATCAGTGTAAGTGTAGGCATAGCCTTAGTAATAGCAACAACGCTGAGAACACCTCGTTCTTTTTTAGCGTTTTTCATCCATAGATCTCACCGTGCTCTACAAAGAAGGATCTATCATTATGGGCCTGATCCAAAGCCCTTTAAGGCAGTATGAGTCTTCCCATTAGGCTGTGGATCAGGCCCTATAACTGGTTGCAGGATGGGGTCCATAATTGCCACGTCAGTGTAAGGAAGTTGGACGTGTGTCTGACTGTTCCTTGGGGGTCGAAGCCTTTGAGTTCTTGTGCTACCGATTCCGAATATTCACCGGCTGAAATAGCGACCTCGCTGCACATATAAAAAGCAGGGAAAGGGTGGAAATGTCCGAGAAGACGTTGTTGCCCTAGAGCCAGTATCGTTGTGATAAATCAGCATAATGGCATCCGTGATCAGACCCTCTGTATTTTATTCTCAGGGTGAGATTGTTTTCCCCAAGCTGGTGGAGCATCTGTCGGGATTTATCGTGGCAATGGATAATTTTTAAATTCCCAAGAGATGTCTTAACCTGTTGTGTACTGTTGAATCCTAATGCCGACTGTAAAATCTTTGAGCCAGGTGTTCTCTTTTACTCTGTACTTGTACAGCACCTAGGAAAAGGTGGACTCCAATCTCATTTGAAACTTCTAGCTCCTACAATAATACAAATAATATGTTCATGTTTTTTTCTTAAAACAGGGTCCTCCTGGTCCTGCTGGACCCCCAGGTCTCCAAGGCTTGTCAGGAAACGTGGTATGTATTCATCAATGGATTTGAGCCCCATCTGTACCCTGCCACATTTCTCTTGCTTGGTTTCTGAGGTTTCCATCTCTCAGGTTCTGCTGCTGTTGTTTTTGTAGTTCACCAGGGTTAGCCCCTGGTGGTCTGCTGCTATATTTACCTGTACCTCTGCAGGTACCAGCGACCAGAGCTCCCATTGGCCACGGATCACTGTTCCTGGCCATTAAAAGCAGTAGGAAGTGGTGTGGAATGGGATACCACTTCCCACAGCTCCTCTTGGGCAGATACGGTGATCTGTGGCCAATGGGAGCTATGATCACCGGTGCCTGCAGAGGTACAGGTAAATATAGCAGTTGGGGCCCACCAGGGGCTAAGCCTGATGGTCCGGATTTGGCCCATGGGCCAATATTTGCCACCTCTGAATTGCAGCCTGTTACTCTCTTTGAGATACTCAGTGGTCCTGGATAGCTTGGGAGTGGTATATTCAATAGGACGTTCTCACTGTCAGGCACTGCCTCCTGGCCAGGCCTAGCAGTCGGAGCAGAGGTCGAAGCCAGATGTTGGATTGGAAATGGGCCAAGGGTGGAGCTGGAATCGAGGTCCAGAGTCACAAACAAGCTCAGAATCTGTAGTCAAGCCAGAATCAGAACAGTAACGGCAATCCAGGTGCAAGCCTGAAGAGGCTGGTCTGTGGAAATCTGCAATAATTCCTTTAGTGTCTCTGGTCTTACTCTAGTTTTACACCTGTGTGAGTGAGTACAGGGTTTGAACTTTTAATTGCAACACATTCAGGGACATCAGTTGTGCAAATGAGAGCAGCAGAAGTGCTGGGTGACGTGATAAGAGCTAATAGACTATCTAACTATTATTAGATCAGCTGCCTACTGGTTCTCTCTGCCAATTCTAATTAAATTGGGCTGTATTAACATCATGAAGATACTTTGCATATTCATGAATGAGGTGAAAGACAGCTGAAGTGGGAAAATAATATTCATTTCAATACTGTGTTCTAACTTGCAGTCAGAACAACCAATACAAGCCCACAGGGCGGGCTGTACCACTAACAGATGCTGGATAACTCCAAATATTTGCACTGCTTAGTGATGAGCTCAAACCGAGCCCTCCCCTGGCCTTATTGGTGAGGTGTAGTTCATCCCACAACCTCCTGAAAGCACCTGTCTTGAAACTCCCGACTTACAAATCGCGGCCTTCTTTCAGCATGGAAGAAAGGGAAGGAGAAAGGAATGTTATATTCTTCAGTTTGGAGGGAAACTTTTTTTCTCATGACCCAGTTGAAGAAAATTGTTGATGCCCATGACCCAACATAATTTGGCTACTCCGAGGTGGGGCTGAAGAAGAGAGCTTTGGGCTGTAAGAGGGGGCTCCGGATTTGTGTGTGTGGGGAGGGGGTGTCAGGGCTGAAGCAAGAGGGGCTTACCTTGAGCAGCTCCTGGTCAGCAGTGCAGTGGGGGTGCTAAGGCAGGTTACTGCCTCTCCTGGCACCGCAGACCATACTGCACCCCAGAAACCAGCAGCAGCAGCTTCCCAACCAATGGGAGTGTGGAGCTAGAGCTTGGAGTATGGGCAGTGCGTGGAGACCTGTGCACTCCCCCCTCCATTTAGGAGCGCAGTGTAGTCTACGGTGCCAGGACAGGCAGGTAGTTGCCATAGCACTCCCACGGGTCACCTGCTCTCTCTACAGCAATGAGGCTCAGGGCCTGATATTCCACGACCCAGTAATGGGTCACAACCTGTGGTTCGAAAACCACTGGTCCAAGCTAGAAAGTATCGGAAAAGTCTGATATGAGCCCATCCGCCTATTATTTCAAGGAAATGAAAAGTGAAATACAAGGGTAACATGCACACTGAATTAATCCCAGCTGTGTATTGAATTTCCCACTACAGGTTGTCCTCTCTATAATATGGTCCAAACACCTTGAACTCATAGCAAAACAACATAAAGCAGGGATTTTTTTCCCCATGGCTGACTTCCATTTGCCCAGTTTTTTTGTGTGAATTAAGAACATGGAATGAGAGGATTTATAATGCATCAGTTCCTACAACCGTTGATGACTTTAGTGCGGAACAGATGTATACTGGGGTGACTTATAGCAGGGACGCCTTGTATACTGAATATTGGGGTAGGGGATCAGACACAACGATAAATGTGGTGAGTCTTTTGGTTGTAATAAGGCTTCTCGTATCTCTGCTCTCTAACGTGCTTTCTGGGTTATTTTCAGCAAACCAGGAAGTGCCAGCAGGATTTTGCAGAGGAGGGAGATATATTTTGGTTAGGGGAGAAGTGGCGCACAAATCTGGAACGACTTAGTGTTCGCTTTTGCTTTGCAGTTCATTCTGTCTTTTCCAGGCAGCTGATGTACATCTCTTCTTGTTCATTGGTCTCAGGATAACAAGTAGTCTGTACTAGGAAAGGCGAGCGTCATAAACCACAATGTATAAATTGTCCAAATCCTCCAGACGCAAAGTCCAGTGCCTCTGTCTATCTCATTTCCTTTAGAATTAAATACCACCCAAAAGAACAGTTTTAAACAGTAGCATTTTTTTAATCCACAGGGTCTTCCTGGAGATGCTGGCCAACCTGGGAAAGATGGACAAAAGGGTGAAAAGGTACAGCAGTTATTTCATGTCTGTCATATAAATGTGTGTCTGGACTTTTAGCACTCTGAGTGGTGACCAGGATTAATAGCTTTTAAGCCAGAAGGAATGATTAGCTCATGTAGTCTGAATTTTTATGTAAAACGGGCCATAGAATTGTTCTTGATTCTCACTGTATAAACCACTACCAGTATTAATAGGACAGGAGATCTTGCAGTGAAAAAACCTTCTTCGCTTTTGTCATTGGCTTGAAAACACATCTGCTCAGGGATGATTGTGGGGGGTTCTAATCTCTTTGTTTCAATCTGTAAATCTCCAGCTGTAAGCAAAATCTTACAGCACCAGCTAGGCAAGCTGCGACTTCTTCTGCTTTCATACCAAGCTCTTTTAATTGTACAGCTCCCTTCTCCTCCCAGCACATCCTCCCCTCCATTTGTCTGTCTCATCCAACTTTTATGGTCTGCCTCTGGACTGTAAATTGTCTTGGGTGAAGACTGTTACCAGTACCAAGCCAGGTATGATGGAGCCCTGATCCTTGAATGGGCTCTATATTAGAAATGATTAACAGTAACATTGGCATTAGCTGCACACAACAGAAGGATAACATTGCAAAATGTAGAGAAGTCCCAGTATATCGAGCCCTCCCACCAAATCACCATCCATGTTCCCAACATTCATCAGATCCCTCAATTTCCTTCAAACCCGAATGTTCCCTGAATTAAATGCGTCTTCTAGTATGTTTCCAAAGCAAACGGTGGCACCACAATAGAAACGTGAAGGAAAAGGGTATTCTAGAATCAAGAACCCCTCTCCAACGGAAGAGGGAAGGACCCCTTACAAGGAACACCCTGCTACCAGTCCTTTCTCCCCTGCTTGTTAAAGCAGAGGACTAGTAACTCAAGCTCTTCTGCTGAGTGTAACTGCATCGATATTACACAGACTGGAGGAAACTTTATCCTAGCAAAGCCCCAAACCATTTAGGACTAAAGTTTTCTTTTGAAGGGAGAAATCCCAACACCCTCATGAGAGTATTGACTATAAAGGTGAAGATGCATCATTACATTCATGTAATAACATACAACGGGGCTTCCTATGACACTGAGGAACGTTCTGCTTGTACAAGTTAGACGGAAGCATTGGACATATTTATCCTCCTGGGAGATATGCTCCAGAAATGGACCTTAGCTCACAATTGGCATGCCTTCCACAGGGTGACCCAGGAAAGGAAGGAAAACCAGGACTACCTGGGCTGTCAGGTGAGCCTGGCCCTGCTGGAATACCTGGCTTACCCGGGAAGGGTAAAGACGGAGAACGGGTAAGTCCTCTTTATGCACTCTGCATCCGACTAGGCCCAGTTTCTAGAGGAATTCAAATGAAATTGCCTCGGCAGAAGCAGAGTATAAAACTGTAGTGCAGCATTATGTTATTACACGCTGAGACTGACAACAGCCACCCTTTGAGTGGATACGGCTGTCAATATCAGCACCTACAGGAAACTTGCTCGCCTCTGCTGTTCTCCTACCTCGCAGGTGGGCTCTTCCTCTCTCTCTCTCTCAGGCCAATGACTATTTCAGCAATTATCCACAGTAGAACAGCTTCACTGGGACAGGTGGGCTCTTCCTCTCTCTCTCTGGCCAATGATTATTTAAGCAGTTATCCACAGTAGAACAGCTTCACTGGGAGAGATTGAAGGAGCCCCACATCTGAATATCCTGTAATTCAATGGCTAGAGCCCTCTCCTGAGATGTGGGAGACACCCATCCCTCCCTGTTCAAGTCCTGTCTCTCTCTGAGGCAGAGGGGGGTGCTGATGCTGGGTCTCCCATGCCCCAGGTGAGTGCTCTATTAAGATAGAAGTTAGAAGGCGAGCTCCTGCCGCTATTCCTCTTCCACCCCTTGCCATTTTCAGTGGATTCAGGACATCACAAGGACTTAACTCAGTCCCCACGAGACATCATCTTTGGTGCCTAAGCCACCAGACTCTTGGTAGTGGGTTCCCATTTGTGTATCTCTAAGCAGAGAAGGACACATCCCTGAAGCTTTAGCACAAACATCCCTCTTCTTGGAATCTCCTACTAGGCAGCTCCCCACCTAGTAGACTGGCTTTGGGGGATTATATTCATAGGTGTCTCTCGTTCCCCATTCACTGTATAGGTAGGCTCCTAACTCAGGCTTTCTGGACCATGTTTTGTTCCTGTGATTCTCTGGATGCCTAAAAGTTAAACGCTCAGTGTCACAACTGCTAAGTTCCTTCGTGGATCCCACGAAATTATTCATTTGATGTAAGAATCGCTTTTCTTTATTTTTCAAAGGCCAAGCTTCTGCATGGTACGTGTTGACTATTTTCTGTTTCGATTATGGCTATTTAGGGTGAAAGAGGCTCCCCAGGCTTACCAGGACTCCTCGGACACAAGGTGAGCCTTTACCTCCATCCCTCTGTGGATCGTACTCAGAAATCAGGACACATTTGCACGTTGTCACTGGGGCTGGTGGAAGATTTCATTGAACATATGGTCCGTTTTTCACTGGAAAATATATTTTTGGTGAAACATTTACTCAAAATGCCTTCCTGATTTTCTGTGGAAAAAGGTTGCAAGAGAAACTTTCCAAGCAACTCTACATATTTCCCGTGTAATGTCTCTCTGGTTGTGTACATGGAAATAGTAGCTTAGTAAATAACTTATATCTCGGTATAAAGCTATAACTAAGATGAGGGGCCAAGTTCTGCCATGCTTCCTGAGACACAACCCATACTAACTTCACTGGCAACCTTGAATCAATACAATGATGGACTCTTTACAGTTGTAGGATCAGCTGCAATTTAGATTCCTTTGCAGTCACTCAGGTGTTCCCCTCATATGACAGACATTGCTTCCTTCATGCTCTACTGCTCATCCACCCTTGGAGTGGACCTTTGGATTGCAGCTCTCTTCCCCCATTGCACCCTGCTGTTTCCCCACCATGTTAATACAGCAGGCCCCGGTGTATTCAGTATCTGTAGGAAACTTCCATCCAGGAGCCTGTGAACAAAGGCTGATTACAGTGACTGAAAACAGCTTCAAAATGAACATGATTTACTCACCCAAAAGTAAATGGTAAGCAGGAAAAAAAGGGTTGAAACAACAAAAGTCTGGTCTTGCTTTCGAATTCTGTTATGAATAATTTACTGTATGTTTTTGATCAGAAGCCTGTTTGGTCATAAGCCAATCCCCTCCTCCAGTTAAAAAATTGTAAAAGTTTCAATAACCCATTCATAAGCTGACTCTATATAGGCGGTTTGCAAACTTCTGGTATCAGCTCATCAGCGTAAGCCACTGACTCACTGGGACGTTTTGTCTACCTGGAGCATCTATGAGCATGGAGCTCTCGGCTCCCATTGGCTGCTGTTAACCTTTCCCAGCCAATGGGAATTTCAGGAAGCTGATTGCCACTTCCCGCCACTCCCTTTGGCCTGGAATGGAGAACAGCAGCCACTGGGAGCTGATGGGCTCCGTGCCTGCAGATACTTCAGGTACATAAAACTTCTCAGTGCAATAGCAGTTTGCCTTGCTGGGCTGGAACTAAAGTTTGCAGATCCCCCAAGTTAACAAAAATTGGTAAAATGCAATGGCCCCCACCCTTTATTGTAATTTTTTTTTACCAAAAGAATTAGGCTTATGATTGAGTATATATGGTAATTTTTAACAATGGGGTCTTTTAGCTTATGGAATAGTCTCTTAAAGGGTGTGGTTGAAACTCTATTCTTGAGTAATTTGAAACTGCCCTGGATAAAGTACTTAACAATATATCATAAGGAACAACTCTGCACTGATAATGGAATGGGCAATGTTATTCTGTTACTCTATAGTTGCTTTCCAACTGTATCTTCTATGATCTTCAGAATAAACACCTGGCAGTTACCTGTGTGTACAACCTACTACAGGAAAGTAAGTGGCTGCTCACAAGAATGACGTTTTCCTGTGCCTTGCAGACTACTTGCTATCCTGCAGGCCATCAGAGTTCCACGTATAAAACCACATGAAAGCAGCAGTATTCTATACGCTGGTTGTCCCAGCAAAGATCTGAGGTCCTCACCTCATCTCTGTACATCAGGTCAACCCAGTTAGCAAAAGAAGAACCTTGTTGGAAATGGAATGCGATATGCTAGCTGATCCACATACTGGATAAATAATTATGGGCTCTGTGCTCCCATTCTGTTGCATGGTGTGGCATAGAATGGAGTCACACGTATACTCAGAAAATGGGGCTGAGCACTTTTGAAAGAGGGAAAGCAGTTGCAGAATATGACGAGTTGCCAGTGAATGTTCCCTAGTATAAAGAACCGGTGACTTTTCCATGTCGCCATGTTATCATAGTGCCTCCGCAGCGTATTTGTAATGACTGTGTGGCGGTTTCACGTGAGATACGTTGGAAGCATCAGTGATGTTTTCTGAGCTGAAAATTAGTGTTAGCCATTGGTCGCTTTTCTCAAACATACAGACTCTTGGTGGCTTCTAAATCTTTCGTCTCTTGATGTTTCAGGGAGATAGAGGGGCTCCTGGTCTTCCTGGACAGCCGGGAGACAGAGGTGCACCAGGAGTTGGAGAAGCTGGGCTTCCTGTAAGTACTAAAGAGACCTCCCTCACTGGTAACAAGACAAGGGCATGGCCATTGCCAGCTGCTGAAATGAGCATCGAAGGCTGCACTGTAGGGTGAATTCTCTTGCAGTTCTAACATTAGTTTACCTAATGAAGTTGCAAACTGCTGACAGCTTCCAGAAACTGATATTGGCCAGATTTTAACACATCTGTCATAGGGAGTTGCTGGTGGGTTTATAAATTTGTCACCCCAACCCCCCTCCCCCAAGGGGTATGTCTACACTACGGGATAAGGTCAAATTAAGCCATGCAACTTCAGCTATGTTAATTGCGTAGCTGAAGTTGAAGTAGCTTTACCCAACTTTTGGCACTGTCCACACTGCAGGAAGTTGAAGGGAGAACACTCTTCCTATGACTTCCCTTGCTCCTTGTGGAAGAGAGACTACCGGTGTCAACTGGAGTGCCCCACTCATTTCGAATAAGTGTGTCTTCACTAGACCTGCTAATTCAAATGCTGGAAGATTGACAGCAGCAGCTCCGATCTTCTCTGTAGTATAAACGTGCCCAAACAGGCAGGCAAGGTGATGGTCTCAAAGTGGTTAATATCTGTTTCTGCAGTTCCAGAAACAATCATGTTGGTGCTATGTGACACCAGAGTTCCGTGTCATTTCACACCAAATGTCTTTTGGTCTTTTGGGAGGTGTTTGTTTCTGTTTGCACAGCATGTCTCGCTAGCAACTTAGCTCCCATACAGATTATCGCTTAATACCAATAGACCACAAGTGACATTTTCACTGTGCGAGGGAGGCCTTTCTGACTTCACATTTCCCCAGCTTGCGTGCTGAGGTTGGTTAAGAGAGAAAACCAAAACCATGATTTAAATAAATGCCATTATTTTCCTTCTGTACTATGTTTTGGGAAATGGAAGCAAAAGATTAGGCATCCTGGCTAAAGTCTATTCTGTGGTCAGAAGTCTTAATACATTATTTTAAAACCCAATTTTCAAAAGATCTACTTGTCTGCAGTACTGTAACTATTTAAGCACATATTATACTTTTCAACTGAGATGTGTGTGAATCCTATACAGTTATGCCCCTTTATGTCCACAGCGCCATCTAGTGTCTTCATCTTTGGGATTTTCACCCCTTCCATAGAATACAAAGTACATCTTTGGAGCTATGCTGTAGCCTGTTTTTTTATGGCCTTGAGGGGTCTGTTCCTCCCAGGTAATGAGTGAGTCTGTCCCCTGGTATTATCAGTGAGATCTGAGGACACGCCTCACCTTTCAGATGCTTTTTAGAATCTTGCAAATTCAGGCCCCAGGTATGTAAGTGTGTAAACAAACTCCACTCTTGATCACACTCCTGAGAAGGTAGCAAACCCAAACATCCTAAAATCTGTGCATCCCTACATAATATGTCTTAAGGTTAATAGACCCTACTTCAGTCAATACTTCCCAACAATACCATTCAGTGGTATCTAGATATTGCTCTTGCCCTTTATACTCGGAACAGGAAGTAACTTTGCTATGGCAAACTGTATCACTTTGTGATAACTATTGATACGTGCTGACCTGTAAAGTTTGCATTTCCCATGCTGGGGATTGTTTTTGTGAATGAGATGTGCGGGGTATTTAGCTAGCCCATTCCTGAGGCCAGGTCACACTAAAAGGGAAGGTAGAGTCAAGATACGCAACTCCAGTTATATTAATTAGGTAGCTGGAGTTGATGTACCTGGTTTTGAGTTTTCCCACCATCCCCACAGTGGGAGGCCGTTCAGATCAAACAGTCCCATCAGCTTCCCTTACTGTTTGCAGAAGTAGGAATGCCCTCTGAGTTTGATTTAGTGAGTCTTCACTAGACACACTAAATCAAACTCCAGAAGATCAATCATGGCCGCATCAATCTTCCGTTTAGACATGGCTTATTTGTTCCTTCTCCTATATTTGCACCTACAAAATCCTGTTGCCATGATTTCTAAATGACATCTTGTTTTTCCATTGGAAAGCCAAAAGCGTCTCAGACAGGAGGGCTCATCCTTTAAATGTGATTATGATTATACCAGGCTAATTAATTTCAGTTGCACAAATGAACATTTTGAAATTAACGTCTCAAATGAGAAAATACATTAGCTTCTGTGAAGCCTAGTGTGCCATTATGATTTGTTATTTTTTAGTTATTGGTAGGGTATTCTATAAATCACCATTTCACTGACAGCATGGAAATTCTGAAAACACCCCCAAGCCTTGATCTTTTAGATATTTTTTTTCAAAGGACAATGTCTGCAACAAAGTCTTTACTATAAAACATTACTTTCACTGGTCAGTGTCAAGGACACAATGAATTTTACAAATAAATGTAGTCAGTTACAAGAACAGGAAGCATTTTCCTTCTGTATCCTTGAAAATTGTATCCTTGAAAATGATTAAAGTTACATGTAAAATTCAGTCCTTGCAAACTCCATGAAATTGTATTACTTTTGTATCTCCACTGTCCTATATTCTTCCTCCCGCCAAAAATTGTTATTTGCACAGAGCTCTAGTTACTGGGCTCGCAACAGGTGACTGGACGAAATTCTAAGGCCTACCTTTTTCAGGAATCCAGACTAGATGATTTAATAGTCCCTTCTGGCCTTAATATCTGTTTATGTGAATGACTAGACTAAGCACTCAGTTTAAGGTACACAACTCCAGTAGATAAAATACGTACCTGTGGTTCGCTTCTCTGAAGCAAAGCTTGGTGGTATCTCCACAGTGGGAGGCTGACAGGAGCAAATGCTCTCACTGGCATCCCTTACTCCTCACAAAAGGAGGAGTACTGGACACCAGCAGGAGTGCCCTCTGAGTTCAATTTAGTGAGTCTCTACTAGACTCACTAAATTGAACTCTGGAAGATTGATCGCGGCAGTGGCGATTTTAGTGTAGACAAGGCTTACGAGTGTCAGAATCTTGCTCAACTGTGTACATCATTCTCCTTACTTCAAAGCATTGTTTTTTCCTAAGTTGGAAAGAATTAGTGTGTTGCTCACAACAAATATGGTATTGCCATCTACCAGTCTGTATCATGGGCAACGGGACTGGCAGCCTCCCTGGGCCCCTGCACAAGGTTGATGGCGGGAGTCTGCTCCCTGCCCCCTAAAAGCTGGGGCAAAGCAGCCCTTAGCACTTCCTGAAGAGTTCCGTGCCTCTCCCAGGCAGCGCTCAGTGCTAAGTGGAGTTTGATATGCATTGCTCTAACAGCAACTTAGAGGGCCCAGAGCTTCAGCTGCCACTGCTACTGCAGTGGCAGGCGGGCAGCAGTGGCATCTGGAAGCTCCAAGCCTTTTTGTATTGATAGGCCCCAGAACAACTGCCCCCTTTGCCTCCCCCACATCTGGTCAGTGAGCCTGATCATGAGTATTGACCTATTGCTCTCAGTGATGAGGTGAGGCTAGTCCCAGAACTGTTCTGACTTTTATTTCCCTTTCTGCTTCCAAAAAAAAAAATCAGACTTTTTTCTCTCTCCCCCTAGGGTGTGTGTGTGTCTTTCTTTCTTTCTTTCTTTCTTTCTTTCTTTCTTTCTTTCTTTCTTTCTTTCTTTCTTTCTTTCTTTCTTTCTTTCTTTCTTTCTTTCGGATTCTTCTCATCTCTAACTCCCCATTAATTCTGATCTCAGCACACTGGCTGCTGCTCAGTCTGGAGTTTTGATCTAGCTGGAGTTGAGGTTTGCACTGATGTAAAAGATCGAAGTGGGGCAAAAAGTAGGTGAGCACCAATAGACAAAATATGTAAATAAAACTGCAAACTGGAGGGCTTGACTCCGGGTGACTTCAATGAAGCTGTTGTCATGTGTAAAGGTTGCAGAATCAGACCCTTTAACAGCACTGTGAATGAGGGATGTGTTTAGTGCTCCTCACTCAGGACCCAAAGTCACCATCTCTGAGCTCTGCATCTCACTCTTTTGCAGCCTTGGTATGTCACTTAACCTCTGTCTCTGCTTTGCCATCTGTACAGGGGAGGTAAAATGTTGATTTTTCTATCTCTGGGTTGAGAAAATGAATGTTTGCAAAACACTGTTTTACTATATATTTAGAAATGTGTGTCTGTCTGGTCGTCCATCTGTCTGTAAGTTTGTTTGTTCAAGAACTCCTTCTAAATGGAAAGAACTAGGACCACCAAAATTGGTTTGCAACTTCCTCTTATTGTAACTTAAAGCACGGTAAGGGCTTGGTTGTCCTAAGATAATAGGATGTGTGTGAAATTTGACTGAGTCGCATAAAATGGAAAGGGAGGGGTCTGATACGAGGGAGTTATACTGCCGGATGGCCACAGGGGGCAGCAAGGCGCCAGAGATGGCAACCAGGACAACTATAGCCCCACTGGTCCAGCAGGGGGCAGCGTTGGAGGAACGGACAGCTATCTACAATATAATTCAGAACGTTTGTCTGTTTGGGTGACTGTCCCCCAATGGGAGGACACGCACCCCTCCCCTGGCAGTACCTGTTGTAGCGGCCATGGACAGGAGCTTCCCACCTGGCCCCAGCCTGCTGTGGTGAGGAGGCTTGGGTTGTCCTCTGTCTGCAGGGCAGCCTGTATACTGAACCCCTCATCCCCAGCCCCACCTCAGAGCAATGATTTCAGTGAAGAAAAAGACCTATTTGAGTTAAGGACCTGAGCAATGCTGAGTAAATCTTCTAGTGCTACATACTAGCAATATGTGCCCATCCTGCCAGAGCAGCCCGGGAGCTTTCCACATGGCACAAAGGGGAGAACTCTCATGAGGATATTTCTTGCCCGGGAGAGAGGGAGAAAGCTCCGCATGGCACAAAGGGGAGAACTCTCATGAGGATATTTCTACATGGAAGTTTTCTTCACTGTTTCCACTTGTTTGATGTTGGTTATTGTACAGGGATTTCTCCCTCTCCCTCCCTCTGCAACATAACTACTCAGGGGTTCAGCTTGGTGGATTAGACAGCTTGTAAAGCTGCACTGAGCAGCTGCTGTGACCCCCCTGGGCTGTGTTACCTTAGCGTCACTCACTGCCTGGAAGACTGTTGGATTGTTTCTTTTACACTTCTCTTCCTCCATTTACTGTCTTTGTTGCTTGCTTCATCTGCTTCAGGGAGTCCACCTGCCATGCTGATTCTCTTCCTTTTCCTGACTGCTCCACCTGTGCTTTTCATTAATCCTAAACTTATGTTGCTGTTCTCTAATTGATCACATAGGATGTTGATTTCAGGTTCTACTGGCCTTTTCATCTGTGTTGTTGCTGTTTGTTTGCAGGGCCCTGCGGGACCAGCAGGAGACAAAGGGCCATCGGTACAGTATGTCTTGCTAACAACACCAGCTTTTACAATGGTGCAACGTTTATAGTGATGATTTTGTTAAGATGTGTTTATATTTCCCATTTGCCTGGTAATGATGGAGAGATACAGCTACATGATTTAGGCCACGATGCAGCAAAGCACTTAAGTGCCTGTTCAGTTTTGGAACTACTCACATACGTACACCACATTGTTACTTTCTGCCTAAAGTCCAGCAAAACACTTATGAATGTGTTTAAATTTTAAGCTTGCCTGTAAGTGTTTTGCTGGACTTTAGGTAGAAAATAACAATGCATTGTCTCACAGTCAACTTGTGGAACTCCTTGACAGAGGATGTTGTGAAGACCTGGGACTTTCACAGGGTTCAAAAAAGAACAAGATAAATTCATGGAGGTTAGATCCATTAAAGCTTATTAGCCAGGATGGGTAGGAATGATGTCCCTAGCCTCTCTGTTTATCACAGGCTGGGAATGAGTAACAGGGATGGGTTCATTTGTTGATTACCTGTTCTGTTAATTCCCTCCGGGACACCTGGCATTGGTCATTGTTGGAAGACAGGAAACTGAGCTAGACAGACCTTTGATCTGACCCAGTATGGCCATTTTTATGTCCTGCTGTATCTAACCAGTCACAAGACAGCCAGGATTCACCTGTCTCCTACTTTGTTGGGATAATATTGTTTAACCTGATTTCTGCTGATACTCTAGAGTCAATCTTGATTTACAGTGATACTGGTAGATCAGAATCATTCTCCTTGTATTTGTCATTGAGTACAGGGGACAGGGAGACAGGCTATCTGGGTTCTGTTTTCCTCTCTTCAGCATGACCTGAGATGAGTCAGTTGACTCACTGCTTAACCTTTCACTGCTCTGAAAGTGCTAGAATGCCTACAGCACCAAGGGCTTGTGAGGCTGCAAGGTTCCTGGAGTTCCTTTAATGGGAGATATTATATCAGCATGGAGTGTGATGGGTTTTCTAGAAAATCAGTTCAAATGCCAGAGTATTGCTAGTTAAATGGGTCCTGGTAGTTAAATGGCGGAGAGCTCCATTTCTGCAGCAGACAGGAATAGAGCAGCTGTTAAATAGGAGCACAGGGTATAAATGGGCTGCCAACATTTCTGATGAGTTTTATTTATTCCCATTTTACCAGGGCCCTCGAGGTTTACCGGGTGTTCCAGGCCCGCAGGGGCCAACTGGGCAGGATGTAAGTAAAGAAAGCGAGAGATTATTATAGTAAAAAAGTCTGCCTACCATCAATATTGTCATTTCAATAAACAAAATGGTCTGTCCCAGTCCAGGAGCTGGTTCTTTCGGGTGGGCCAATGAGATAGTTACTAGCAATAGAACAAACTGAACCAAAGAAATATGTAGGTCAAACATCTGGGAGAACAATCTAAAAGACCTATTAGCCGGTGCAATGTCAGGAAAGTCCCATTACTGAGCCTGGTAGAACAACACCGGAGAAGGTGTACTGTCAGGCTACGTCTACATTGGCACCCCTTTCAAGTAGGAATAAGAAATCCTCCGGAAAAGGCTTTATTTTCCGGAGAATAACGTCCAGACTGGCGCTTTTCTCCAGCTTTTCCCCAAGCTGGAAAAAAGCGGCAGGCATGTTTATGCAAATACCGCGGGGGGTATTTGCCTATTCCAAAATGCTACATTAGCATCCCTTTTCCGAAAGGGGTGCCAATGTAGACACAGCCTCAGAGAAAAATCCTGGACTCTCAAGGGAAGCCTCAAGGTATCTACTCACTGTTAGAGAAGAAACAGGTGACTCATGAGCAGATAGGGTAAAGAGAGCTGCTTTATTGCCCATCCACATTAATCTCGGACATTCAATAAAATGGCCGAGTGGCAACAAATTGCCAACAATTACACCCTTTCATCTGTTTTAGTATGTTAATTCATACATCTATCACTATTTTCCTTAAAACCTTATTTAGTAATGTTAACTCCTACACAATGAATATTAATAAGGAGGTGATTAATATAGTTATACCCGCCCCTGTTGATTGTTTACTGGTTTTTAGTTGAATCAGCATTACATACTGTCTTCATCAGCAGCTCATAGGGAGGAGGAAAGTTCTTCAACCCTGAAAATGTTTTTACAGACAAGTGCAAAGCCAAAAAAAAGACACTGTTCAGTGCAGCCATCTTCCAAGGCTGCCAGGACTAAGGGGAAAAACATGTTTAAAGAGCAATGACAATGCCTATTGTGACTAGATCCCTTGCCCACTGATGTATAGTCATCCCAGACCCCAGCAGTATCCTGGGATGGTGTGTGTATGAGGATAGGGAAGAGGAGATTGTGAGATAATCTTATTGATTTTTCTTTTCATTGTCCATAGGGTTTACCTGGAAATCCTGGGGAAAGAGGACCTCCTGGAAAGCCAGTACGTCATTTCACTTTTAGATTAAATCCCAAAATGTTCTGCTCTTCTCCCTTTTTATATCCTCACCTCCATATACCCCACTCTTCGCAGAGGACAGTGAAACTTTGCTTGCTTGCTATTCTTATTGGGAGGACAGTTACAAGTGGTAAGAGTGATTATGGCAGAAGTGTCTATGGTAGGTTTGGCTCGGTACAAAAATAATTGAATATGCTGTATGTGAATGGAAGCAAAAGCCCCGAACAACAGTCTCTTAGTATTTTCATGCAAGCCCCAGGCTAGAATCTGTCCAATCCGTCCCTGTATTCTGGAATAAATTCATAATGCAATTGACAAGAGACATATTTGCCCTAATGAGCACCAGACAGTGCAAGGGAAATCAGTACCAAACCACAGGATATTTTCATGCAAACTTACCTTCAGTGTCTCATTTTATAGAGCTACTTATTACATTTGTATTAACCAATGGATTTATCTTTCCACAGGGTGCCTCCTCCCTGCTTTCTCCTGAGGACATAAATCTCCTAGTCAAGGTATGGCTTAAATAGCCTTTGTAATGAGATTGTTTTTTGCTTTTAACTGGACTAATGCTCCGTGATGGGGATTCATCTGAACCGTCAGCTCCAGGTGTGCATCTGAACATTCTAAACAGCCACATGTGCAAGCAGTTTGTACAGTCACACTAGTGCCAGCAGGGACATGTTAGAGACCAAAGGGGCTCTGTTCAGTAAAATCCACCAGTGCAACAGCATTCAAAGGTCCCTTCCAACTAGTGTAAATTAGAACATCCCAAAGGTTGCTGTTCTTTTAGCTCTAACTGACACTCTGAATTGACAGCCTAAAGGTAGACTTTAAACACCGCTGAAAGCATCTAAATAACGGGGCCTAATTTTCAAAAATGCTGAGCCCCTACGTCTCCTACCGAAGACCGTTTGAGCTATAGGTATTCAGCTCCTTTTTGAAATCAGGCCACGTTTTCATTTGGTATTTAATAGGGGCGGTAATGTCTATCATTAAACGCCCATGTTTGAAAATATGGGTTTGCAGGTTTCCTTTTGCAGTCCATGAAGACGATTTCATGGGAAATGATCCTGTATTTGATGCTGAGCAGCTGCTAAATCTTTAGTGATGGCCGTGAGCACAGTGGAGAAATTTTAAAGCTGTCTAGGGACATGGCGAGAAATCTTTACCTATTGATTAAAAAGCACTGAAAAATGACTTGCTAACTGGCCTCCTTCTTAGAGCTGAAAAGAGCAGCCCTCTCTGGTTACTATCTTGAGATGAAACCTGATGTTTACACTGCATCTCTTCTCGAAAGATCCCAAATATTGTTACGCAATGTGCACTGTATGAGGTTGTTTTGTGTTACAGTAGCACTGAGACCCCAGCTTTGTGCAGAGCCCCATTGTTCTACGGGCTATAAAGTAGGAGGCAGACCGTTCTCTGAAGTGCCTCTATTCTAAAGTAGGTAAGACATCCGAGGAGTAGCAGGGAAAAGAAAGGCAAAGTGCATTGCCCAAGATCAGACAATAGATCTCTGCAGAGCTAGGCACAGAATCTAACCCTTCTGCCTTATCCACTGGACTGCACTGCCTCTCTGTATGAAAGGCTCGGAATTCTGTAGGCTTGCTCGGTGTTTCTTGAGATATAGAATATGTAGTGAAAGGGCAGCAAGAGCGTAATGCTCCAGGTGGAATTTGGCCAGGGCACTGTGGCAGACATCTGCCCCTGCAACAAATACCAAGAGCCTTTTCATGACCTCAAGTGGGCAGCGCTTCACTTCTCCGTCTTATTCCACAGTGCCTGCCCCCACTCTGCTGAGTATAGGCGCGGTACTCACGGGGAGGGCAAGTGCCCCCTAACCTGCTTTCTTTAGAGGTGGCATGAACTCCTCTCGGAGTGAAGGACCACCAAAAACCTCACCTCTTTAACCTGCCTTCTCTCACATAAGCACACAGCAAGGGACGTGTATGTAAAACCACCACGTGCTCTAGCAAAGCAAGACACTCCACTGCACGTTGTGCCCTGCAGGAAGAGGATGAGAGACAGCAAACAGTGCACAACCGATGTGTAGTCACCTTGCTCAGTGCGCTACTCCTGAGATACTATGGGGATCCACCTGGTATAAGAACCTATAGAAAATAGAATAGAAGCCACCTCGAATTCTCTGCAGCCCCTGGGTTTTCCCTAGAGAGCAGCCCTCTCAGCACTCCCCCAGCCTAGCTTTTGAGGTTGGATAAGACACTGATTTGATAAGTTCACAAGGGAGGCTGTTTTTCTTTGTATTCTTGCTTCACGTTTCTCCTCTCTCTCCCCCCATAGGAATAGACATTTCCCGCATTCCATGCTCTTGGCTTTAATCTGAGCTATGACTCAGCTGGCCCATTTGAGGACTGCCCATAATGCCTACTCAGGGACCACACCAATGCCATGGCCTGCCATTAATCTGAATGGAGCAGAGACCTACCGCTCCATGCCCACGGTGCCACCTTGCTGACTTCACACTGAATGCCAGTAGCTCTAGAAGGGAGCCTTAGTTTCCTCAATAATACTCTCATCTCTTTCAGGATGTGTGCAACGACTGCCCGCCTGGCCCGCCGGGGCTCCCTGGAATGCCAGGCTTCAAGGGTGACAGAGGTGCCCAAGGACCTCCGGGTAGAGATGGGCTGAATGGGAAAATGGTGAGAGACCTGCAGTAAGGTCCAGGCTTCAGGACCATTTTGATCGCTATTGTTAGACTGATTTTAATAGTCCTGTATTCAGTTTCAGGCACTAGGTGCTTCATAGACATGTCTAAAGGCCAGAAATAGGATTCCAACTCTGTTACAGCACCTTTAACCTGCTCGGGTAGCATGAAGGAGCTTAGACGACAAATGGGACAAATGAAAGGGTGGCAGGGGATGACTGGAATACTCTGCCCTCCAGCAAATCTTTGTGTTGGGGATTGCTCCCATCCTGAAAGCAGCCTGGACTACAGGAGCCATCCCCCTTGTCTCGCTCCTCCTATATATCCCTCGGGGAAGCCTGCTAAAGGTAGAAAGGACATTTCAGCCAAGCCCTCTGCAGACAAGGGCAAGAGGCTGCAAACGGAGAGAAGAGGGAGGGAAACAACCAAATCAGAAAGGGAGAGGAGAGGACAGGAGAAGACAGTCCTAGTAGCTCCAAGATAGCTGAATGGATTTTCTGTTTGCCAGGAAGCCTGCGGGAAGGAGAGAGTGAATTTTTAGGAGGGAGTTGAACAAGAAGGTGGCGGAGGCCTGTGAATATGTGATACTCAATGAGAATGAGGTTTGCAGGACTGCATCCTTAACATATAGACTCATAGACTTTAAGGTCAGAAGGGACCATTATGATCATCTAGTCTGACCCCCTGCACAGAGCAGGCCACAGAATCTCACCCACCCCTCTTAGAATAATCCTCTCACCTATGTCTCAGATATTGAAGCCTTCAAATACTTTGAAGGCCCCAAGATGAAGAGAATCCTCCAGCTGTGATCTGTACCCCATGCTACAGAGGAAGGCGAAAAACCTCCAGGGTCTCTGCCAATCTACCCTAGAGGAAAATTCCTTCCCGACCCCAAATATGGCGATCAGCTGAACCCTGAGCATGTGGGCAGGACTCACGAGCCAGACACTCAGAAAGTTCTCTATAGTAACTACTATCATCCCTCCATTGACCTATTTACCTCTGATAATGAATGGTCAATTAGTTACCAAGATCATGTTATCTCAAACCATCCCCTTATAGAATCATAGAACTGGAAGAGACCTCAGAAGGTCGTCAAGTCCAGCCCCCTGCTCTAGGCAGGACCAATCCCAACTAAATCAACCCGGACAGGGTTTTGTCAAGCCGAGACTTAGGGATCTAAGTGGGAGAGGGACCATCTTGGGGCTTCACTCTCAGTCCACATATACCATGTCCATAACCGCAGAAGTACCCACTTCTCTAGTCTCCCCTGTGCTCTGATTTCAGCTCTTTCTCTCAGCCTCCCTACGAGGCCTAAGAGGCTCCCTCTTCCTCTACACCAGCTTGTGTGTTCTACATACATTGGCATAGAACTCAGTGGAGTGACTGGTGTACCTGATCGTCCGGCCCCATGCGTCCTCTGTGCTTTCTCCTGCACATCTCATGGCATCTCACATCTGCCAATTGCACGGTTCCTCTCACTCCAAAGTACTCAACCTATGTGGGCATCACTTCTCCTGGCCACTGGAGGGCTGCTGTGTTGGAGTGGAACACAGGGATTGTGTAAGGCAGGATGTGAGAGGCGCCATATCCAGCTTAAGCTAGGGAGGCACACTGTGAGTCCTCCAGTTCAGCAAACACTTATTTTTGTAGAAAGCCTCAAGGGATGTTTAATCACCACAAGCAACCACACCTCTGTTGTTATATTTTATGCAAAACAAAGCACCTCTGGTACCACCATGCCCCCTGATCTATTATATCCACCATCCAGGCCTCATGGTACTAAGTTGGGACATCGGTTGAGTACAAGTTCAGAGGAGAGATTCCCATCACCTTTTTTTTGGGGGGGGGAAGTCTCCCATCCCAGATCTGAGCATAAATCTCTTAGGTCACATCTTCACATTCCACACTGGAGATCGATCTCCTGGCATTCAGTTTAGCGGGTGTACTTAGGACCCACTAAATCAAATACTGAGAACAGCTCCAGTTGGCACTAGTACTCCTTGCAGTTGAGAGGAATAAAGGAAGCTGACAAGAGCATTTGCTCCCATTGGCCTTGCTCTATGAAGATGGCACCAAACTTGGTTTAAGGTAAGCCAACTCTAGCTATGTGTTTTATGTAGCTGGAGTTGCGAACCTTCAGCCAACCTTCCAGATGTAGTGTAGACCTGGCCCCAGTTACGATATGTCTGAAATTTGTTGTGACTATGATTATGTCTCCCTCTAGTGGCTGGCCTGTCTTTTGAAGAAGAGCCTGCTTTAAGACAGGCACTTTTTGGTATTGATGGGTCCCTCTGCTGCTGAATACATGTAATCAGGAGTGTGTCACACAGGCCTAGAGCACTCTGGCTAGCTGGACTCAGACTCGACTGTGTTAAGCTGCAGAAGTGATAGCTCACCCTTGTGTCTGTTGGTTCTGCACTTGATGGGTTACTGATCAGTTAGAGTGTCTTTCTGATTTTGTAAGCTACAGGTGTGACTGAGCGCTTTCCTCTTTTTTGTAGGGCGATCCTGGACCCCGGGGTCTCCCAGGCCCTCCAGGGGTGGATGGTCCAAAGGTCAGTCATTCTCCTCTATTAATGTCACCTGGATCGACTCTATTCTTATTTAGAGCAAAGGCCAAAGCAGAATGTGGAGGGGCAGAACTTATGTAGAACTTGAGTGGTAGACAAGCCCTGTGTTGCCTCTCTGACTTTTCCCATGAATCATGCAGCTTCCTCAGCAACATCACAGCAACGTAACCCGGAATCCAGCATCTGTTGGCATTCCTTCCAAAATGCATGGCAGTGTTTTGCTGGGATGTAATGCACAGACTGTGCTGATCTCCTGAAAGGCCCAGAATGGTACACTCTGGTGGGGTAAAAAGGACTCCCAATAGTGTAGTTAAGTGGAATGGCTGGTCCTAAGTCAGTCCGTCCCTTCCTGCTCTTCTCAATGACAAACATCCAGATGCATTTTAAGTACTAAACAACAGACCATTTTCCCCCAACAGTTACACTTGCCTAACAGTTCTAATATATTGACCAATGCTGTGTTGGGGAGATATTGATTCCACACCTGGCAAGTTAGTAGTAAGTTGGGACATTGGTCAAGTCATATTTGGGCTCCCCAGCCAGAGTAGTTTCCAGACAATGTTTTGTTGTTGGGTTTTTTTTTTTGTTTGCTTTGGCTTTTTGGGGGGAGGGGGAGAGGAGCGGACAAATAAATGTATGTTAGATGGATAGTGAGACTCCCAATTCAGCAAAGCACTTAACCAAATGCTTATCATTAAGTACATACGTGAGTCCTATTGATGTCAATGAGACTTAAGCACGGGCTTAAAGTTAAGCATATTGTAAGGTGCTTGGCTGACGTGGATCCTGCAGCTCAGAATGTCATAAATCTTAATGGCTTTTAATGGCTTTGTTTGTTAACAGGGCACTAAAGGAGACCGTGGGACATCTGGGGATGCTGGTGAAAAAGGTGGACAGGTAAAAGTGTTTGCTTCCCAAGTAGTGCAACTGGAGTATAGGACATAACTAGGTTTCTCTCCCTGGCGACTTTCTCCTCAGTGGGGAGAAAGGTGAAGATCCTCAGCTCCCACAACCTCCAGAGGAGCTGGAGTAAGAAGACTTGAGCTGGAATCTTCCTCATCAGGATGCTCTCCACCTAAAACCCCTGCGCACCAGCATCTTCATGTTCTGTCTAGTGACCAGCAGCAGTCATGTGGCCTTTCTTCCCACTGTCACCACCACCTCTGATACCTCTGGCAGGCATCCCTTTGGCTGCCTCACTCCTTGTTGGTTTTTAAGGGCTGACCATTTGGCTAGTGCACAGGTCAGACATGGGGGTGGGCAACCTTTACAGCATCAGGATCCAGAAGGTTCCACCATATCCTGGTGCTGCTATACTGCTGTTTTCTCTCACCTTAGCACCTGAAACACTCCAGGCTGTGTGAGTACCTGCTTACCCAAAGATATGCTGGGTAAGAGATTAAGGAGAGGCTGCTGTCTTGTCTGGGAAAGAAACGGGGTAATTTCCAGAGGAAATGAGATCCCACAGGAACAGGGGACTAAGACACATTTTGACCAAAACTAAGCCAAAGTTTCCTGAAGGTTTTGTGAACCTTACCACTGAGGGAGGGCAAGATTTTGGATATAGTAATGAAGCCAGCAAATGCATTAAGTGTGAAGTTACAAACATTTTGCCCAGCTCTCTTTTTGTGCATCCTTCCACTTTGGCATTTTGGTTTTTCTCTCCCAGCTCCTATAAACACAGAACAGCAGATGCCTCAGGAAAAGTACATCTGCATTCGAACTGTGCTTCTTTCTTGACTGACTGCTAACCTTGCACCAATTGCTTAGTGAATATTTCCTTTGCATACAAAATATGCAACTCATACCAAGGCTGCGATTAGGTTTCTTGACAAGTTATCCAAAGCCAATGTATATTAAAGGGTTAGGGTACGTCTACACTAGCTCGTTAGTTCGAGCTAGGTAGGGTAATGAGGGCAAGCGGAGTTGCAAATGAAGCCCGGGATTTAAATATCTCGGGCTTCATTTGCATGTTCCCGGGCGCCGCCATTTTTAAATCCCCCTTAGTCCGAACTCCGTGCCCGCGGCTACACATGGCACGGAGTAGGTAGTTTGAATTAAAGATCCTAATTCAAACTACCGTTACTCCTCATTCCAGTAACAGTAGCTCAAATTAGGATCCTTAATTTGAACTACCTACTCCTTGCCGCGTGTAGCCGCGGGGCCCTAGTCCGAACTCCGTGCCCGCGGCTACACATGGCACGGAGTAGGTAGTTTGAATTAAAGATCCTAATTCAAACTACTGTTACTCCTCATTCCAGTAATGGTAGTTCAAATTAGGATCTTTAATTCAAACTACCTACTCAGTGCCGCGTGTAGCCGCGGGCACAGAATTCGGACTAAGGGGGATTTAAAAATGGCGGAGCCCGGGAACATGCAAATGAAGCCTGGGATATTTAAATCCCGGGCTTCATTTGCAACTCCGCTTGCCCTCATTACCCTACCTAGCTCGAACTAACGAGCTAGTGTAGATGTACCCCTAGAGACAGCATAAATGTGCATGCTTTGCAAGTCCAGGCTTTTGTAATCCCAGGGTAATGTAGGACCAACTAACCCTTCTGTGCATTCACTCATTTCACATTTACATCATTGCTTCCTTATGACGGCCATTTACTGCCCTAAAATTTGGAGGACATGACTTAAGAGTGAAGAATGGATCTGGCACGAATGTAATAGTTGTCTTCTGATTCTGCAGGGTCACCCTGGGATGCCTGGATTCTCGGGACCTCCTGGAAACCCAGGGCCCCCTGTAAGTTTTCCTCCACTTTTCCCCCTCATACTGAAAAGCAAATCATGCTTCATGTGTATGTGTGTCACTAATAAATGTAACTGCAGCCTATATATGCCACAGAGACCTGCTTCCACCCACACTGGTGCCATTTCTTTGATGCTTGGGTTCGTAATAGACCTTGAAGTATCTGAGAGTCCCACACTCATGATACTTAGCACATCATGCAAGCATTTTGCAGCCATCACTTTGCCTCACCTATGTACATTTATGTGAAGCTTCAGTTGCTTGTTTGATAGAAAAGGCAAGTGGCAGGAATTTTTTTTTCACTGAGATCACATGGTAAAAATAATGGTGTTTCCCATATGTACTATAGGAGGCTGCTGGTTGACTTTAGAAATAACAAAGGTCAAAAGGGAAGATATTTGGCTCTTTGACTCCTTAAATTATATACAATGATATTAGAACAAAGATCTCAAGTGTTTCATGTTGTGGATAGCTTCTTCCCTAGGCTTATTTTTTCTCCACTCAGGTTCATCTGAAGAAGTGGGTTTTGCCCACAAAAGTTGATGATACTGTATATATTTTGTTAGTCTCTAAGGTGCCACAGAACTACTCCTTTTTAAAGCTACAGACGAACACAGCTATCTCTCTAAAACTACTTCCAATCGGAATGTCTCCCAGGTCTCACTCCTCACATTTCCAAATTCCCCAGTCTCCATATTAGCAATGGTGTTTCCTTACATGAAAAAAGTCTTATCCAGATAGTGTTAAGGAGACCTGGCTAAAACATGTTTGCTTGAGTGGATTGTGTCCCTCAAGAGCTCCATCTTTTCCCTGATTCCCTGAAGCCACCACTGCTTAAGCTAGGTAGGCCCCTTTGCAATTTGACCCTTCACCTCTTAAATATTTGCAGCCCCCTCCTAATCCCAAAGTCAACAGCATTCTGATCATGGCTGGATTTATGCTGCACTTTTGCTTTGCCATTGTGACACCAACCTCACCAGGAAGGGCGTGTGAGGTTACCAATGAAGGCTATTTGGTTGCCTTGTATATCTCAAGTTATGATAATACTATAGCCTCCCTGAGCAGCTTGCTTCTCACAGAGACTTTGTAATGAATGAAATTCTCCATAATGTTTAACCTATATTTTCCCTGCTGCAGCCTATGCCCATGATGTCTTGTTCTGGCCACGGTGACTAAGCATAGAATCATAGACTACTAGAATGGGAAGGTCCAGTCCCTTGCCCTCATGGCAGGACCAAGCACCATCTAGATCATCCCTGATAGATATTCATCTAACCTGCTCTTAACTATCTCCAGTGATAGAGATTCCACAACATCCCTCAGCAATTTATTCCAGTGTTTAACCACTCTGACAGTTAGGAAGCTTTCCGTAATATCCAACCTGAACCTCCCTTGCTGCAAATTAAGCCCCTTACTTCATGTCCTATTCCATTGCTTCTTAGCCTAATGATTCCAAGATTTGCCTTCTGTAGTATGTGCTCTGAGATCTTTCTACCAGCAGTTCTATTCTTCTCAAAATTAGTTGGGGCACAATATTTTTTTTCTAATTACTGTATATTTTCTGGAACAGCAAACAAACTAAAATATCTGCTTATAGGTCAGACGGGTAATTATATACAGATGTTGATGGCTGCTTTTCTGTGATGAATTAATCTGAATGAACACTAATATGACTGAACGAAAGAAAGTGGTAGCGTTGCCATCTGTGGTACTGACTGTGCTGACAAGGATACACTATGTACGAGCAATTCATATTCTTTCTGCTTTGTTTTATTTAGGGACCAGATGGCAAACCAGGACCTGCACGAACAATATTAGCTTCTTTAAAGTAAGGCTGAACTGAAGCAAACAGGGTATTTTCCCCAAGCCCCGCAAGTGATATTTAAAATGCTCTTCATGTTGAATAGGCCCTGCTGGAAACTCTTTATTTCCTTTATTTCTATGCAATCCAAGCTTTCCAGAATGAGAATTCCTGATACAGCAGGGATATGATGGGAAAACTCTTCAGGGAGCAGGTTCCCTACTGTTCTGCAAAGTCAGCTCACATAGGTTACAGCAGGATAAAATCTACTCCCTTACTGGGGTAGGAATTATTTAAGCCTCATGAATCCAGTCCAAGCTTTCTATTCAGGCTTGTCATCTCTTATGGTTACTTTCAGAGCTGCTCAGCCCACATCCTAGGTCTCTCTCTCAAGAGAGTCTCTACCGCCTCTCTTATCCATGCAGGAATTGACCCTAGTGCAACAATGAATCAACAAACCACAGTTAATTTCCCAGCAGGACCCTCACTTGCTGACACAGTGCTGGATAATAAGGGTGAAATACTAGAGGCTCCACAAAGCCTTCTTGGGATTTCATTACTGCTGCTGATTGTACAAGGAAAGTGCTCAGATACTACAGTGATGGATGGCAGTAAAAATCCCTGGGCGAGACAGAATCTGATCTGGTTGTGACTGATCTTCACTCCCGAATCTGGCTGATTCTTACCGCAAAGTGTCTCATTTCCGAAAGGAGGCTTCCTAGAGTCACACAGGCTGTTGAGTCAGAATAATGCAGCAGTGTGTAATTAATGATGCAAATCTGGAACTGGATTGTTCTGGGTTGGCTAACGAGCCTGTCACCTTTTGTCCATATCTTCAACTGTAGCCTTCATCAGGAACAACCAAGAATTGCCCACCCGCTGGCTGTGGTGAGATGAGTTAGCCGTCGTAGCAGAGAGACCAAGGATGTGCTTTTCTTTCAGCCCACTCAGTTACAGTCACAGCAGTGTGTGACTGAACTTGTGTGCTCTACAATCCCATGGATAACCAGAGGATTTCATGCACTGGGACAGTCCCCTTTCATAACCACCAGTGTAATGCAAACAGACAATAAAACATGCATTGGCTGATTTGAATATTAATCCCTACAGCACAAAGCTGGGCAGAGACTTGCTGTGTTGTTATCCACATCTTCCCCATTTCCCACAATGCAATTTACACTTTTGAGACCAAATCCAGCCCCATCTTAAAGGCTGCAAGTCCCACTGAATTCGATGAGAGTTGCATTTCTTTATCTGGGGTGGGAGAGAGGGCTGAATTTGGCCTCTTGTGCCAATAACTGTGAATACAGCAAAGCAAAGTTTGGTCCATCAGGGAGTGGAAATCTGTGGAGGCATTAGAGACGTGTAATTAATTTCCCCCTCCCCTTCCAACTCTTAGTTTACTAAGTTGTTGTTCTTCCTGATGCGGCCTCTGAAAATCTTGTCTGAACAATAACCCATCTGTGGCCACTTTACAGGGTAAAGATGGCCCACCTGGTCCCCCAGGCCCACCAGGACTGCCTGGCCTTCAGGTAAGTGACAATTGCAAATTACTTCTCATTCACTATGTTACGTTTCCTGCCAGCCTGTGTCCACTGTAAGTGATGTTTCTGAGCTGCCGCGGAGCAGAGATGAGATTGATGTTGTTGAGTTAACTCCGGTTTTATGGGACTCCATTCAGTGTGTATTCTGAGTCAAGCATTTGCCAGATAAGGGATAGTTTCCAAAAGAGATTTGTCTGTTCCTCTTGCCTGACTCTTATTTCCCTGGCAGAGACCTTCCCGGAGGGGCACTAATGTGAGATAATGCCTCCAAGCATGTGGGCATAGATAATTGTCAGCACTTCATACTGCTACAGGGATTTTGTTAAGGCTTAGTGTCCAGAGTGTAATGATCCCCCTGGTCTGAGCTCAAGAACAAGCACAGGATCAATTTAATAGCTGAAACCCCATTCATCTGGCAACTGCATGGATCTAGTGAGGCTTGTCTATCGCTAATGTCTATGGGCCAGAGCCTTTTCTGGTGTAAATCAATGTAGCAGTGGAACGATGCTGATTTAAGCCACCTGCTGCTCTGGCCTTACATTCCTATCTTAAAGCACCACTAGGGATACTAACGAGGTGAAGCATCATGCATCTGGCTCTTGTGCATGTCCCATTCTGGAGAGAGACAGAGTTGGAGTTGGCAGGGTGTGGGCGTAGCGACCGTGTGGCCAGACAGACTGTGTTGCCTGTGAATAGCTGAGGTGGAGAAGTGAGAATGGTGTGTCACACAGGACCTGATTTCATGGTTCACAGTGGCCAGTCATCTCAAGATTCACCCTAACAAAGGGTGCACCCATCTTCTGTTATCGCCACCTGGACCCCTAACAGATGTTTCACTTACAGGGCGCTGACGGCAAGGATGGCAAGCCTGGATCTCCCGGGGAACTAGTAAGGATTCACTCTGTAGACACCCTAATGTAGCCAGGCATTCAGAGCCACACTGGCTGTTGCTTTCAGACTCCCAAGAGGACCTGGAAGCCTGTTTGCATGCACCTGATTAATGCTGCAGTGCTTTAAGCGATCTGTTAACATGCAAATCTTGCCCTGAAAGGAGACCTGGCCGCCTTACTCTTAGGGCAGGTGTGCATTTTGAGCTGGGGGAGTGATCACACTCATGGACACAGCATCAAGCTGCCGTGCTAAGAAGAGCTAACAGGACAAGCAGCTGTAGTGGGGGGAGCTGCCAGAGGGGCTAGCTGAGCTGAGTATCCAGTTGCTCAAGCTGCTGCAGGGATGCTCTATTTGTAGTGCAGGAACTCAGTGCTAACTATGGGCACGTCTCCTGGAGCTGGGAATCGTATCTGCAGCTCAAAGTGGCTCTCTCTTGGTTATGTCACTGTAAATTCTAAGGAGACCCCAGTCTGTTATATAATACTAAACCAAAGGAGCCAGGTTTTACCAGCCAATGGAAGATTATGGAGAAGGAATCAGGAGAAATTCAGTTGGGCTACAGAGCGAAAATTGGATAGGAAGTTTTGGGTTTGATTGCCCCCATTGTTTTTAACTGGGCGCTGGGAGGAAAAGGACTTGACCTGGCATTTTCCAGCCAAAAGGTATTGTTAATGAGGTGGGCAGGATACAGCATTCCCCTAGCATGTGCATATTTTTTTGAGAATGTGCTTCCTGGATCTGTTGCCCCTATCCCCTTTCAGTGATTTTCCAAAATATGAGTTCTTTCCTTATCCTGACAGCGGACAAATATTCAGTGTTAAAGGTATTGTATAGACAGGGCCATGTTTTCAGAGTCCAATGCACACAATTTTGCATAAACAATTGCACATGCCCCGTTTCTCTGTGAAAATACCCCTTTTATATGTGTGCATCAGAGATGCACGCAAATGCATGCACCTAATTTTGAAAATCTGGTCCAGTCAGGTATGCCTGGCAACAGGTGTGGGTGCTTCTTAGACTTGCAAAGCTCACAGTTCTAGAAGCCAGGGTAGGTTTACACCTGGGTGCAGGGTTCCTGTGTTCCATATGTCCGGTTTGTGTGCACTCAGGTGTGAGTTTTGTGAGAGCATCTCCATTGCATTCATATTAGACTTATCCCTAGAACCCGCATTGCAACCAACAGGGAAGGGCAGAATCCCTTTTTGGATGATGATGATGCATATGCTAGGAATGATGGAACAATATCGGAATCTGAATGTACTTGTTTCCAATAGGGCAAACCAGGAGAACCTGGACTCCCCGGCCAAGAGGGGGCCAGAGGGTTACCGGTAGGTGCTACAGCAGATGGTTTAATTCAGAAACTGTTTTATCTTATACATTGGAATATCTTTGGGCGGGGATGGTCTTTGATTATATGTGTGTACAGCACCTAGTACAAAAGGTCTGGCCTGGCTGAAGCATCTAGGCATTTCCACGGCATAAAGGATGAAAAATAATCCAGGAAATGGAACAGGACACTTCTGGGTCTTTTGCCTCAGAATTCCCCGGAGCAGATTGTGCAGGTTCTTTGCCTGGAGGTCAGGACACAAGAAGCCGTCTGTGTGCCCCAAATGTCAGGGTCATTCACTGCTTCAGGCCATGGCCTCCAGCCATGCATCACACATCTCCAAAGTGGATGGGTCAGGGGAGAGCGAGTCCCCACCCCTTTCCCTAATTGCTCTGGTTCATGCTCACCTGGAAGAGTAACTACACCTGCATAGGCTCCGCCCACACACCGTGCTGCTAAGTCGATGCTGCTTCCCTGGGATACAGCCCTCCCTGGGCGTTTCCTGGCACGGTGCAATTCCACGCAGACCAGGGCCTGGTTTTCTAGGGCCAAATTGGCGAGGTTTTAAGGGCAACCAGTGGGCATGCACCATTCAACCAAGGCCTTCCCGCAGGTCCATGCTTCTGGCTGGTGTTAATGTCAGTCTCTTCTGCAGGGTTTCAAGGGGCCCAGAGGAGATGCAGGTCCCCCAGGACCCAGGGTGAGTAACACGCCCAGCTTTGTGTGTGTCGGGCACAGTATAGGGGAGAGTCAGTGGCACTCCAGGTCACTTTGTTGCCTTGACTCCCAGCTAACATCAGTACTGGCTTATTGAGCGGTCACTGATGGGTTAGTGCAGCACAACCTCGTGCTCCCTTCCTGATGTCCCTGTGCATGTCTGGTTCACAGCACACCTCCTTCTGCACTGGCCCGAAAGCCACAGTACCTGGTTCGTAGCTGCGGACCAGAGGGGCAGAGAACTGACCGTACAGGCTGCACTAGTATGAAATCACACACCACCACGCATTTCAGGCTGATTTCAAAGATGAGGGGAATGGAGCTTTTAGGCTCACTTGCCTCCCAATCAGAAAGTCCTGAATTCAAGTCTCACATCAAGAGTTGGCTTCATTCTCAACTCTCATGTTGCAGAGCAGCACCGAGGGATCCCTGCCATAGGAGTGAGATGGAAAACTGAGTGGCCGTCTGCCTACTTCTGACTCTCTTTGGGAAATAAATGATGGCCCAGTGGCACATTGCAGGATGGTCAGAGAGCCCCAATGACCTAGACCCTCCCTTCTTCCTCCCTAAAACGATTGCTCCGTGATGAGTGTGTCACCTGCCTTCACAGACACTGCACTCTCACTAGCAAAGGCCTTGTTGGAAAGGGCTGCTCAGCCTTGCAGATGACACATTTTTAAAGCAGCTCTTCCCAGGTTGTAACCGCGTTGTGCCTATTGGCATGAAAGCAAGATGCATGACTCTCTACACCCCTACACCATTTAACCAGATCTCATGCCCCGAGGCCGCAAACCGCACTCCAGGACTGCAGAATCCAGCATTTCTATCGTGTGCAATGCACTGAATTCATTAATACTTCCTTTGCTCTGTGTTCCAGGGAGAGCCAGGCGGGACCGGGCCGGCCGGTCGTGAGGGCCCACCGGGGAAGGATGTAAGTGTACTCTTGGCATGGCAGCAAGTCTCCATCCCTTGACAAGTGAAAACTGTTTCAGAGTAAACGAGAAAACTGGAAAAACTGTACTAGAGAGAGAGAATGACTGAGGGGACTTACAGGCAGTGCTCCTCAGGGTAGATAATTGAGGGGCTCTGTCTCTTCTCAACCCACTAGGGTTGCCAGGTGTCCTCCGGTTTTCGCCCGGACTGTCCCCCATTCGGGTCCCCCATCCGGTAAAAGAACCAGAAAATACTGAACATGTGAAATGTCCAGTATTTCTTGTTTCCCTCAGATGGAAGCCCGTTGGGGACAATTTTCCCCTGACGCATTTGGTGGGGACGGGGGAGTGAGGAACACGAGGCCATTTAAAGGCACAGCACCCTCTTTTTTTTTTTTTTTGCTTAGCAACTTTGGTTTCCCTCCCCATTTATTTTTTTTTTGCTCAACAAAATCTTTTCCCGAGGTGTTTTTTTGAGGGTGGGGTGGTGTTCGGTATTTTTTGTTGAACCATCTGGCAACCCTACAACCTGTTGACACTGAAGTACTAGCTGTGACTTTGGAATATTAGCGGTTTAGATCCTGAATGGAACGGCAGAACGAAGGTCCCTGTTTCTCTTGTGCCTCATTCTGCCATGCTTGTTCCCACTGAGCAGTACTTTACTTGGCCTAGTTCTCCTGGGCCTGATTCTGTCTCATCTCCTCATCCTGAGAAGCATCTTATTCCACAAATAGCCCCACTGGAATCCATGAGATTGCCTGCAGGGCAAGGCACTACTCAGAGGGAGCCAGGGCAGAAAAATCATGTCATAGGACATCCCTTGTCAAACAAAGCCCTGGGGAGCATCCTGTGAGAACTGTATTATCTTGGAGGGGCCCCTGAGGGATGGGCCACATGAGCCATCCTGCCAGCTCCGTGCGAAATGGTTTTGACTGCCTCCCCTTCTCGTCCCTGGCAAATGTTGCCTGCCAGACTGTGGGATTTGTCTTACATGGTAGCCAATGAAAAGGTCCGGCAGAGCAGGGATCGGAGCTGTGTCCCTGCCCCCTTTTTCAGACTCAATAACAGGTCCATAAGCCAGCAGTCCTCAAATGTGAGCATCCCACAGGCCTCCATTTTATTTAAATATTTTTGGGACTCCCAAATCCCTGCTCAACCACAGGTGCTATCCCTGCCCCTTCCGCTACACGCTCCCCGCCCAAATGCCGTGTCCTCTTTTGTCTCCCTCCCTCCCACGGCCTGTAGGGTTGCCAACTGTCTCATCACAAAACCCAAACACCCTTGCCCTGCCACCTACTTTGCCCCTTTCCCCGAGGCCCTGTTCCTTTTTCAAAGCCTCACTGGGCACACTCCATCCCCCCTCCCTCTGTTGCTCATTCCTCCCCATCCTTGCCCACTTTCACCAGGCTGGGGCAGGGGGTTAGGTTATGGGAGGGGTTCAGGCTCTGGGCTGGGGCTGAGGGGTTCAGAGTGCAGGTTGGGGCTCAGGGCTGGGCTCCAGTGGGGTGCTGCTTACCTTGTATGGCTCCTGGTCAGAGGGACTAAGCACACCCTCTGCTTGCCCTGGTCCCATGCTGCACCTGGAAATGGTCCTCGCGGCCCCTGCAGAGGAAGAGGCTCCACCCCCACAGCTCCCACTGGCTGCAGTAAAGTTGACGCTTGGGGAAGTGCCAGCATACGGAGACCCCTTGTACTCCCCTGGATTCCCCCTCAGGCTGTAGGGAATTGCCAACTGCTCTCAGGAGCAGCACAGAGCCAGGGCAGGCAGGGAGCCTGCCTTAGCCCTATTGCACTGCTGACTCAGAGCAGTTGATCAGCAGGGCTGGCAGACTCATGGGGTTTACAGATCCCAGATTGAGAAACGCAGTAATAAGCCAGTATAGTTAGAACCTAAGTGTGGCCAGCAAATACCCTGCTCCATGGACTGACCCTAAAGACACACTTTTTGAAATGCAGCAAGCTGGTCTTCCCTCCTGCCGGGCCAGAACCTCTTATTCACAGACATTTTCTGCATTTTTTCCTCCCGGTCCATGAGCTGTAGGAGTCAGGCCCGAGCGGTGTGTAATTTTCAGATGGTGCTCTCATTGCCTTTGTGTCAGTGTCTTTCACTTAGTACAACAATTTCTCTTTTCTTCCAGGGCGATATGGGCCCCATTGGACCTCAAGGTCCTCGAGGACTCAGAGGGCAGCCAGTGAGTTTCCTTTCCAGACAAGCGGCCTTTGAAGGATGGATTCCTGGCGGTAGGGGTGTCACAGAATCCAGAGCTCTGGTTTGGAACCAGAATCTGATTAATTTGGCCAAAACGTTTCACTCACTTTAGGAAAGGAGGAGCTGAGAGATGTTGCCAATGGCAGCAGGTGACCAGTAGTATCTAGGAACAGGTAGCTGTATAAAAGCAGAGAGGTCTAATGGTTTCAGCTGCGAGCTGCCTAGTAGTTGCTTCTGAGTTCTGATCTTGCCCCCAACGCTTGACTTCCTAGGCAATTTCCTTCGGCTACAGTTTTCAAACCTGGTGTTAATTGTTGGGTACCACCTTTTTTTGAGCATCCAACCTGAGACACATGGGTCTGATTATGATATCTGTGAATCATCAACTATTTAGATATTGGCATAGAAAATACGCTTATTAAGTTTGCAGATGATACCGATCTGGGAGGAGTTCTGACTGCTCTGGAGGATAGGGTCATAATTTAAAGTGATCTGGACAAATTGGAGAAATAGTCTGAGGTAAATAGGATGAAGTTTAATAAAGGCAAATGCAAAGTGCTCCACTTAGGAAGGAACAATCAGTTTCACACATGCAGAATGGGAAGCATGTGTCTAGGAAGGAGTACAGCAGAAAGGGATCTAGGGTTTATAGTGGACCACAAGCTAAATATGAGTCAACAATGTGACACTGTTGCAAAAAAACCAAACGTGATTCTGAGATGCATTAACAGGTGTGTTGTGAGCAAGACACGAGAAGTCATTCTTACACTCTACTCTGCGCTGGTTAGGCCTCAGTTGGAGTATTGTGTCCAGTTCTGGGCACCACATTTCAAGAAAGGTGTGGAGAAATAGGAGAGGGTCCAGAGAAGAGCAACAAGAATGATTAAAGATCTAGAGAACATGACCTATGAAGGAAGGCTGAAAGAATTGGGTTTGTTTAGTTTAGAAAAGAGAAGATTGAGGGGGGACATGATAGCAGTTTTCAGGTACCTAAAGGGTATCATGAGGAGGAGGGAGAAAACTTGTTCATCTTGGCCTCTGAGGATAGAACAAGAAGCAATGGGCTTAAACTGCAGCAAGGGAGGTGTAGGTTGGACATTAGGGAAAAGTTCCTAACTATCTGGGTGGTCAAACACTGGAATAAATTGCCCAGGGAGGTTGTGGAATCTCCATCTGTGGAGATATTTAAGGGTAGGTTAGATAAATGTCTATCGGGGATGGTCTAGTCAGTACTTGGTCCTGCCATGAGGGCAGGGGACTGGACTCAATGACCTCTCGAGGCCCCTTCCAGTGCTAGTATTCTATGATTCTATGAATATATTTTCTTGTGGAAATGAGAGAATGAGATTCACTTTTGAGAGAAGATGCCTCGTCATTATTGAAACCTTGCAGAAAACGAGTGCTTAGAGGGCTTTCCGTGCAGAAAAGTCATATTAAACTTCATGAGGCATCACTCGGGAGGGCAGATAAATTGTTCCTATTGCTTTCTTGTGTTTTAAAAAGCAGTTCTTCCCAAATGTGAATACAAACAAGATTGTCCAGACCTGAGCACATCCCTAAAGGGACAGCAGTTTCTTTCTTCTCTGGGAAAGCAGGCTACTGAAACAGAAACTCTGAGACCTGGTCTATAATCAGAACCATGTGCTGACTGAGGCAGCAAGGCCAGGAACTGGAACACTGGGACTTTCCAAGCAACGAGCTTAGGGGGTTAGCTAAAACTACCCTTGCATCTGCTTTGTAATATATCCTGTTGTTCCATGCCCATCCTTCGGTGCTGGCCTCACTCACTAATGCATCTTGGCCCTGGGGTTTCCAGAGAAAAATAATCAGAAATAAAATGATCATTGGTCTTAGATGAGCCAAATTCCTTTTGGAGAGGCTATGGATGGGTCTGTGAGAGGGCAAAGCAGCAGTCCTTCTTGTTCCTTTTCTGCTTCATGTCCTTTTGAGTACAAAGAAGGAAAGTATTGCATAAGAAAGCCATTCAGAGTATGACAGATAGGAGGGCCACTTTGGAAGTGCTACTTTAATTAAATATGCAACGCCCTTGCATACTGCAGAAGGAGGGATTGAGGTTTAGGATTTATTCTCTCTTCTGAATTGTAAATGGCATGATTTTCTGTTCATGCAAATGTTGGTGTTCTCCATTCTCCTTGTGGTGAGACTTTCTTATCTTTAATGAATGATATCAGAGACTGGGGCATGGGCAGTTGTTCCTATTGGTTGGAGCCAGAGTGACCTCTAGCGGTTGGAGCTGGAATCAGAAGTGAGGATCCATGCGGAGGGTCCGGACTGGGTTGCCTGAAGTGAGGCAAGACTGGAGCTGAGGAAGGAACAGGACGGAAGGAAGACTGGGAGCAAGGAGGAGCTATCACAGCAATGGACAGATGCTTGGAGCAGCTCTGAGTTTTGAGCATTGAGTAGCCACTGAATTGCTGCTGCTGCTGGGTCTAAGAGGTGGTCTGCTGATTCTTCCCACCAGTCAGGCAACATAGCTAAGCAGGGAGCCTGCTACAGGCCAGCTGTGCTTGTCAGGCTGCCCACAGCCTGGCTCTGCTGCATGCTCTGATTCCTCACAGATGAGCTGGGAAGGTTATTGGATACAGGGTGTTGAGGGCTTTGATTCGTGTGTAGGTATAACCGTCCTAACACCGCATAAAAATCCCAGATGGATGGATGTAACCATCTGAGAACCTCTGGCTCATGGGCTCTCCCCTTCACTTCCCTTCACTCCAGAGAGGATTCCCATTTCTTGGCAGCTACCAGTGTAAATATCCCCTAGTGAGAACTAAAGCACTGCAGTTGTTCCCTTGTTTGGAGCTCCAACCTCCTTGGCCTCCTTTTTCCAGTTATCCGGGATTTCTCCCGATCTCCACGACTTTTCAAAGATAATAGCCAAAGGCTCCACAATGACATTTGCCAACTCCCTCAGTACCCTCGGATGCACTAAGTCCGGACCCATGGATTTATGTACGTTTAGCTTGTCTAAATAGTTCCTAACCGGTTCTTTACCCACCACGGGCTGTCTATCTTCATCCCATCTTGCGTCACTTGGCGCAGAAGTCCAGGAGCCGACCTTGTCCGTGAATACAGAGGCAAAGAAAGCATTGAGTACTTCAGCTTTCCCCACATCATCTGTCACTAGGTTACCTCCTTCATCCAGTAGGGTCCCACACCCTCTCTGATCACCTTCTTCTTGTTAACATGCCTGTAGAAACCTTTCTTGTTATCCTTCACATCCTTTGCCAGTCGCAATTCCAGTTGCGCTTTCTCCTTCCTGATAACCCCCCCGGCATTCTTGAGCTATACCTTTAAACTCCTCCCTGGTCATTTGTCCAAGTTTCCACTCTTTGTAAGCTTCCTTTTTGTGCTTAAGTTCACCAAGGATTTCCCCTGTAAGCCAGTCCGGTCTCCTACCATGTTTGCCTCTCTTGCTACGCGTTGGGATGGTTTCTTTCTGTGCCTTCAATAAGGCTTCTTTAAAATACTGCCAGCTGTCCTGGACTCCTTTCCCCTTCATGTTAACATCCCAGGGGATTCTGCCCATCAGATCTCGGAGGGAGTCAAAATCTGCTTTTTTGAAGTCCAAGGTGTGTATTTTACTACTCTCTTTTCTTCCTTTGGTCAGGATCCTGAAATCTACCATCTCATGATCACTGCTTCCCAGGTAGTCACCCACCTCCACTTCCCCTATTAGTTCCTCCCTGTTTGTGAGCAGAAGGTCAAGCTGTGCATGGCCCTGGTCGGATCCTTCAGCACCTGTGTCAAGAAGTTATCCCCAACATTCTCCAGTTATCCCCAACATTCTCCATATATGGTGTACTGGCTCTGCCCTCTCCTTATGCCTGGTTTACATGTCTCCCATGACTGAATGAGGGATTAAATGAGATGGAATCCAATCCAACAACTCATCGTTATGGTACCTCAGGATTCTGTGTGAGAGAAATGTCCGGCTGTCTTCCCAGGTCATCTCTGTGTCTCCTGTATGCTACCAGGCTTGAGGCAAGGGGCCAGGCTGTCATCTCAAAGATGTCTCTCAGAGGAGCAGAGTCCTTCTGTCCGTGGGGATGGAGTTTCTATCATGTGAAACTGAGATGCCAAGTAGTGCTGATCTGAAATTTTTCAGTGAAATGTTTTACACTGAAAGATGCTGCTTAGTCAAGGAAATGCAAATTTCATTTAATGAGACACCTGACTCGAAAAAGATTTAGTTAGAAAACATGTTTGGGTTGTTAAAACATCCTGTTTTGAGATTGTTGAAGCTTGGGGGTTTCTTTTCTTTGAAACGTTTCATTTCCAAATGTTACTCAATTTACACTAAAAGGGAAAACAGGTTAAAATTGAAACAAAATGGGTTGATAGACCTAAACCAATGTGGGGGGGGAGGGGCAGGAGGAGGGGATTTTGGGTTTGTGACCATTTTTGACACTTTAATTTTTTGTAAGAGGATAGAATCATAGAATCATAGGACTGGAAGGGACCTCAAGAGGTCATCGAGTCCAGCCCCCCGCCCTGAAGGCAGGACCAAGCTCCGTCTACACTATCCCTGACAGATGTCTATCTAACTTGTTCTTAAATATCTCCAGAGAGGGAGATTCCACCACCTCCCTTGGCAATTTATTCCAATATTTCACCACCCTGACAGTTAGGAATTTTTTCCTAATGTCCAATCTAAACATCCCCTGCTGCACTTTAAGCCCATTACTCCTTGTCCTGTCCTCAGAAACCAAGAGGAACAAATTTTCTCCTTCCTCCTTGTGACACCCTTTTAGATATTTGAAAACCGCTATCATGTCCCCCCCTTAATCTTCTTTTTTCCAAACTAAACAAGCCCAGTTCATGAAGCCTGGCTTCATAGGTCATGTTCTCTAAACCTTTAATCATTCTTGTCACTCTTCTCTGTACCTTTTCCAATTTCTCCACATCTTTCTTGAAATGTGGCGCCCAGAACTGGACACAGTACTCCAGTTGAGGCCTAACTAGTGCAGAGTAGAGCGGCAGAATGATTTCACGAGTTTTGCTTACAACACACCTATTGATACAACCTAGAATCATATTTGCTTTTTTTGCAACAGCATCACACTGTTGACTCATATTCAACTTGTGGTCCACTATGATAAGGCCAAACTCTTACCTATGCAGTCACATGTTGCTCCTCCTGGAACTTCTCCTGGATGAATGTGAGATATGAGGAGAACCTATTCTTGCTCATCAGCCTGAATTAACTCAAGAACCATTTTGCTGCACGCTTTTGAAACGCTGCTGTGTTTTGGTTCAGAGGTGGCTGCTTTTGAGAGATGGCCAAAGTGATCCTTGAGTGAAGAATGCAGGAGAATGTCAGAGCTGAGTGTTTGCACGTTGATCCCAGAGGAGAATTGTACTTGTGATTTCTGAAGTCTGAGTAGCAGGGACCCTAGGAGGAGAGGTACCATATAAGCATTCTTCATCTGTTCTTCACTATTCTTCGAGGTGGTAGCATAAGATTGAAAGGAACTCTCATACCTCACCGTGGAGAAAGCCTGTTATCACCAATGAATGATTTGTACTTTCTTTTAAAACATTTATTAGGCTTCATCCACTAGATATTATCATAGTCTACAACAGAACTCTGTCCTAATCAGGCTAAGGGTCACATCGAGCCACCTACCCAGTGTTATCTAATGTGCCCATCACCATAGAATCAGGGCACCATTTAGCGTCTGAGTGCCAGTGTCCTGGAGGTGTCCTGGAGGCAGTGGGGAAAACCTTTCTGGGCAAGAACCTGCATTGTCTGGGCAAAATGTGTGGCCACAAAGAAGCTCCCAGTTGCATCCTTTTTGATTCCCAGTCTGTTCTTTTTCCCTTCAATCCAGGGCAAGAATGGCTCACCCGGTGCCCCAGGGGAAGCTGGTCCTGCAGGTAACCCAGTAAGTATCACAGTGAGTCAGGGATGTTGATACAATTATGGGGGTAATTTATAACCCAGCCCAGAGACAAGAGTTACATGTCACAGCCTTACAAATGTATTTAATGTGACTGGCCTGTCTGAGATCAGCCCCCACAGAGTGTGACACAGAGGCTGAGAGGCCTGGGGGAGCTGGCAACAGCCTCTGTGGAGAGGGGGGAAGTAGCATTAGAACAACTCACTCTGGGAAATGGCAGGCAACAGCTTAAAGCAAGGTCATAGCAGGGGACAGACCTCACAGGGGGCCTTTTGTATGTGAGACTAGTCTGCCAGCATTGAGGTGCTAGAAGGCCACTGAAGAGGCTTGCCTTTATTGTTCCCCAAAGTTGTTCTGGGTTCAGTAGTTAGTTATAGTAAACCCATTGTATTCAGTGCCTCTGATGAAATGCAGGTCAGTTCCCTTCTTGCTTGCTGGAGCTCCTCTGTCCGGACAGTTTGTTTCACTGGGATTTCAGGTTCAGACAAAAGCCAACGGCATAACCAGTAAGAGTCAGGACCTTCTCAGTTCAATGATGCTTCCTTTATCTTTCTAACATTGTACTTTCTGCAAATAGAGATGAGGGGAAGGGGTAAATTGTGTTGTGTGTGTTCTCTGTTCTTACATCATTTTCTCCTCATTGAACGTTATCTCCATTTGGGGTTCAGGCAACAGCCAATCTGTTTACAGGGGGCATCTAGCTGTTTTCATTGCCAGTATGTAAAGCTCTCACTTCAAGCTAAATAGTGGCTGTTTAACTAGTCCCCTTGGCTTGCTCAATACCTAGATGAGATGTCAGTGTGTCTTTGAAGAACTGTTTTGGGCCTGTCTTTCTAAACTTATTAATGCCATACAGTAGAAGCCTAAAACTTTGTATAATTGTTACCAGGATAATAATGTTCAGTAGATTATACATTTTCAAATGATACCTCACAAGTAATACTTGATACAAAATGTATTATGGTCTTGTGAACATTGTACTATCATGAGATCCATCATGGGTATTAGCCAAGATGGTCAGGGATACAACCCCATGCTCTGAGTATCCCTAGGCCTCTAACTGGTAAAAGGCCAGAGACTGTATGGGACTGGATGACTTAATAACTGCCCTGTACCATTTATGCTTGCTGAAGCATGTGCTGTTGGCAGACAGGATACTGGTCTGACCCAATGAACCACTCTCATGTTCTTAACAATGACACAAGTAAGGTGTATGCTGCTGACACAGTGTTGGTCAGCACGAATGGCTTTGGTCTCATTGATATTATCCAACTTCTCTAACATTGGTAAAATGACCCTCACCCCCCAACACAAAGGGCAGCCCCACAGCAAGTTTAGAACATAAGGTGTTTCCTTCTGTGGGCCCCTGTCTAGCTAACTTCCAGTTCTTTCTGAACTCACACAAATATTCTCAGCAGTGCACCGTGCAGAGTTTTAGGGACTTTGTTTTGAGAAAAAACAGGAGGGGCAGATGAGGATTCAAGTTTCTCCACAAACTATGGCAGCTCAGAAAAGGTGATGGGGGAAGGAGCTGCTGGTGTTCATGTTTCATTTTGTTTTCCAAGGGCCCAAAAGGAAACAAAGGAGAAAATGGCAGTCCTGGACTTCCTGGATTTATTGGGCCTCGAGGCCCTCCGGTAAGGATCAGTTGAATGATACAAAGTGGTTGTTATTCACCCACTCCCTGGTTTTCACTCTTCAGCCTGGAGGAGGGAAGGACAAAATATCACTGGAGCCTTGTGTGTTCTGCTAACTACCCAGAAGCTCTCTTGGTATTCCAAGTAGCCCTGTGTATTATTTCAAAGAGAACTATGTCCACTTCCATAGCCCACAGAAGGAGTATAATCTCATTGGGTATGTCTACACTACCCTCCTAGGTCGAACTAGGAGGGTAATGTAGGCATACCGCACTTGCAAATGAAACCCGGGATTTGAATTTCCCGGGCTTCATTTGCATAAGCGGGGAGCCGTCATTTTTAAAACCCCGCTGGTTCGAACCCCGTGCCGCGCGGCTACACGGGGCACGAACTAGGTAGTTCGAACTAGGCTTCCTAGTTCGAACTACCGTTACTCCTCATTCCACTTGTAGTAAGGACACCTATCCTAAGGCTCTGAGTAGGAATGTGGTATTCATGAAGGAGTGGTTTAAATGTTTTGCACAGTGTGAGTTTGGGGCAGTCACATCACTCACTAGAGCATTCTGCATGGGCCATGGATATTACAGAACAGCTGCAGCTGGAATATGTTAGAGCGATTAAGAATATCCAGACTATTTCTTGTATTCTTTTACTAAGGCTAAAGGCCCTAGGTACCTTGAAACCAACTGTCCAAGGCTCAGCAATAGAAGTACAGGTTGGACCTTCTCATCTGACACCCTCGGGACCTGACTGGTCCCGGATGAGGGATTTTTCCAGACCAGGGGAGGTCATTTCAGGCCCCCTGCTTCCTAACGTCCCCCCTTGCCAGCCTTCCCAACGGGCTTCCTTCTCCACTCCACTCCTCCCTCCCTCCCCCCGCCCAGTTGAGCCACGTGCTAGCTCCTGGTACTGCCACCCCCCCTCCCATCTCTCGCAGACCATCTGAGCTGCAAATCAGCTCCTGCCCTCCCTCCCCCACAACCCAGCTGAACCATGCACTGGCCCCCAGACCCTCTCACAGCCCAGCTGAGCCACACGCCAGCTCTTGGGCCCCCACCCTCTGGAGACTCTCTGATCCTGGAACATCTGTGGTCATGCCTGACCACGGATGTTACCGGACCAGAGAATTTCAGATTTTAGAGGTTCAACATGTATATTGTAACTTAAACGTAAAATATTTCCTGACGTGATCTAACAGCTTTTCTATACATAAAAATATCAACCCCTTAAAATCCTGTCTCTTGGGCCCTTCCAGATCTAGAGGCAAATGTCTGATCCCAGTGAGAAGCTGGGATTCTCCTTCCCCACTAAGTTAATGCTCTTGTTTCCAGCCCTTCAGTGACACAGGGTAACAGACTTTAAAACCATCACACTAGCGCAGGACTGAATCTTCCCTAGCCTGTCTCAAGCTGGAACCATTTTTAGTGGCAGGGAGGAGAAAGAAGAAACAAGTTTGTTTTCTTTAAAAACTAAAGTAGCTGTTTATATCTGCTATGCGGTTTTGGAATGTTGGAATACGTCCCAGTTTTGGGTTGGTTGGCAAGAGATATTCCCCTCAGCACGTGATTGTTTGCACTGATATGTAATAAATACACCTCGTGCCTGTGCAACTGATTACACACACTTCCAACTTATCCGAGATGTATCAATTACAGACACACACACAAACACACTATCAATCTAATCAGGGAAGAGGTGTTTCAAAGGCTATATGAATACACATAATTTGACCTATACGTGTTACAGATGCTTTTCTATTCTCCTTAGTTGTGTGAAAATGTGCTCAGAACTTAACATCAGCCACAGTGATACTGGTGTTGCCTTTTCAGTCCCATGCTTCAATATTGTGGTGGTAGATCCTGCAGTGAATGCCAAAATAGAGAAATTATAATACTTATTTATTCTGGTATGGTATATACAGAATAGAAGAGAGTGGTAAATGGGGAGTGCTTTATTGAAACCTAACCGCGCTATCCAAGAATTCAGGAAACTAGCTCAAGAAAACTTAACAGAGGCTGCTAAAACATTCAGGAGCAAAGTGAACTGTATGGCAAGAAAAACTAGAAGCCCCTATTAACAATACATCAATCTCAACACCTTTGCTTGCTTTGTAGGAATGGCTGATTCCCTACATTTAGGATCTTTCACATGGGAGGCAGTATATTTGGAGATGCACTTTGACCATAGGGACTCCCTTTAGTTAGTGTTGACTCATCGGATTCCTGGCTCACCAATCAGGAAGATGTCACTTGGTGACAGAGTATCAGAAATCCAAGGATTAATGATCTATAACGTTTTGTGCTTGACACAATATTCGGGGTTTGGAACAGGTCCCACATGAAGAGAGATTAAAAGACTTGGACTTTTCAGCTTACAAAAGAGGAGAATAAGGGGGGATATGATAGAGGTCTATAAAATCATGACTGGCGTGGAAAAAGTGAATAAGGAAAAGTAATTTACTTATTCCTACAATATAAGAACTAGGGGTCACCAAATGAAATCAATAGGCAGCAGGTATAAAATAAACAAAAGAAAGCTTTTTTTCACTCAGCGCACAATCTGTGGAACTCCTTGCCAGAGGATGTGGTGAAAATGAGGACTTTAACAGAGTTAAAAAAAGAGCTAGATAGATTCATGGAGGTTAGATCCATCAATGGCTATTAGCCAGGATGGGTAGGAATGGTGTCCCTGGCTTCTATTTATCTGGAAATGGGTGACATGAGAGGGATCATGTGATGATTACCTGTTGTGTTCCCTCCCTCTGGGGCACCTGGCATTGACCACTGTTGGCAGACAGGATACTGGGCTAGATGGAGTTTTGGTCTGACCCAGTCTGACCGTTCTTGTGTTCTTATCCATTCCATAGAAAGCAAGGGAAATCACCTTACTTGTGGGATAAGAATGGGGACTGGTTGTTGGTGTGTGACTTTGGGGGGGCCTGCGTTGTTGTACTGTTGTGAGTGTTGTGTATTATGTACTTTCTTCTCCTCTCTTAGGGAGACACAGGAGAGAAGGGGCCTTCCGGAAAAGAGGTGAGTTCAGTTCCTGCTTTCAGAGCCCTACTGGTGTCTCTGTTCAATGGTAGAACCAGGCATGCACACCAGGGTTGCGCTAGTTTCTTCCTGAGATACTGGTTTGACAAGAATAAATAAATGTGTCATACGCAGGGATTTGTGGCGTATACAGGCCTTCATTTTCTGGAGGGCCTGGGCGCCATCCCAAGGGTTAGCATCCTGTCATTAATGTTATATATGGCTAGCTCTTGTGTACTCATACCTATTGTTTCATTACAGGGCGCCGCCGGGAAACCAGGCAACCATGGACCCAAAGGAGACAGGGTGTGTTGGGATGTGGCTAGCTCTTGTGTACTCATACCCGTTGTTTCATTACAGGGCACCGCCGGGAAACCAGGCAACCATGGACCCAAAGGAGACAGGGTGTGTTGGGATGTGTTACTAGCAGAGCTGTCCCTGACCGGGGGGGGGGAGGATTAGGCCAGGTGCAACCTGCTCCCCAGTGCTCCAGGCACGGGACCCAGGGCAACCCCCGTCACGCACCTCATCCCCACCCATCTCTGCTCCATGCACACCCCACTCCGCCCCTTCCCTCAAGCCCATTTCTACCCCTGTTCCGTCCTCTTGCCCCTTCCGTGTGTAACGTGAGCTGGAAGATTACCAGGGTGTCTGACGTGGTGCGGCAGTATGGGTCACCCCTCACACACTCACCGCAGGGGTAGGAGCCAGAGCCACTTGGCAACCTGCTCCATTCTGCCCAGTAACCATGCTGTGTTTCATTAGGCTGGGGAAGAAGGGCCACGCTGTTTTCTGTATTGATATGCTGGTTCTCTCTGGTAGGGAGATCCTGGCGTCAAAGGTGACAAGGGCCCACAGGGAGAGAAAGGCCTGCCTGGGGATCCTGGCATACCTGGCCATAAAGGCCACACTGGATTGATGGGTCCCCAGGGACCTCCAGGCGACAGTGGACAAGCTGGCCCACCAGGACCTCCAGGACAGCCAGGCTTCCCCGGACCCAGGGTAAGAATGGTGGTTGTGAGCTTCCAGAGAATTGTATAGAAACACTCCCTTAATGACATGACCACAGCCCAACGTTGTTGCGGAGCGACCTGTGTGGAGTCGCAGTTTACTCTGCAGTGCTATCAGCACGTTCTTCCTCTGTTAGGTACGCATGGAGCGTATGTGCAGTAGGGCTCCCCTCTCTCGCTCTGAATCCCCTGCACACAATGAAGGAATGCTGCACCTGCTGGCAATCTCCCGCTAAACCATGTTGGAATTAAGTGGCCACCACTAACCTGAGTGTTTGTCAACCAAGGCAGGAAACTGAGATCTTGGACAACTGAGGTCATTGAAATTCCCGTGGTTTTTTTTTTTTTTTTTTTTTTAAGTAGAGAAAGTTAATTTGGGGATGGTTGGCAAATTCCAGTCGGGGAAAGAAAATATTCCTGGCCTGAAACTTCTGCAGTGGGATGCATATGATCTCCTTCACTTCCTATGCAAA